CCTCAATACACCACAGTCTGGACATGTACAATCTGCTTTGCAACTTCAACCTCAAGCGCTTCATCATAATTCTTTTGCATCTCAGTGCTGCAGCATTACTTATTCAATATTCTCTCTCTTTCTTCTAAGGTCTCTGTGTGCAACTCTGTGTGAACATTCTGTGTGAAAACGAATACAGGTAACAGCGTGTTTGTGTATGATAATGCGGTAAGTGTTCAAAAACACGATCTCTCTCAGTTGTTTTGACACAACTCCACTAGTAATGTCACAGGATGGGTGGTTCTGTATGAGTAGGTACCCACAGATGTGTGTCAGTCATAAGACAGGAAGTGGCACTGAAAGTTTACACCCTCACACATTCACACTCCCACCCTTTACTCTTTAAAAAAAACAAAAAAACATTGATTGCACATGTTGCTTTGTGTGGCACATGTAGGTGTTTACTGTGCAGCTACACACATTTGTTAATATATATATATATATATATATATATAAAATGCCCATTGATGTTTTATATTAACATCAAGATTTCAGGTTCAAATCTATGTAAATGTATAAGCATTGTAGCATTTGGACCAATCAGACACACAACTTTTTGTTATATTTAACAAATAATATCGAACTCCCCATCACCTAACCAAATGGCCAATTACGAGGGTCTATGGACCCTTCCCCCGAGGCGATCCTTTGCTCAGTCGCTTGGCTTTGCTCTGGCTCGCGGATCGCTGCGGGAAATGGCTCTCCGTCATTGGTGGGCTCAGGCTGATGCTACGTACCGCAGGGAGATGGTGGGCTGGGCTCTGGGTCCGGAGTGGATCTGGCTAGATCCTCCACGGGGCAGATGATGAGTGGCGACCCGTTTCTCGCCAGAGTCCACTCCACGAAGGCAGCGAATTCCTCCCGAGGACCATCTTCGGACAACAATTTTGCATAGAAACTACATTTAAAATGAATTGAAATTCAAAGAAATCCATATAACTAATTTTAACTACATAAGGTTACAGACAGAGACAGACAGATAGGCAGATAGATAGATCATAAAAAAAACATTCAATGAACTTTCAGCGAAAGTTATTTTATTGCCAAGTTGATTCAGATATTAAATGAAAAAATGACATTTTCACAATGGCTTTTAAAACAAAAGCCTAATCAAAGTCATTCATTACCATTTTAAAATTAAAGAACACCATTTTAATATCCCACAAATGAATTTTATACAAAAATCTTATAAAACATTTGACATGCAATAAATACATTCATTTTTTTAAAGAAAAAAAGGACAAAGGAAAACTATCGACAACGCGATCAAAAAAAAATACTGCTCAAATGTTTTTTTAGTTTTTTTTTGGTCACGTAAATCTTGCAAGAAAGCACTTGAAAGTGGCATATTAAATTGTGTTATATTTGAAACAAGTTCAGAACAAGAAGTAATGGTGATCAGTGATATCAAAACAGACCAGCTAGTGTGTTACTTGGCTGGAGAGTAAGGGGAACATTCACAGTGAGCTGGGTGGTTGAGTTGAGTTGAGTCTTTTCCTCTTTATATTGTTGTTTTTTTTATATTTTTTGTACTTCTAAATACTTACAATTGTTTTAATGTGTGTGTGTTTTCCTATTCTGATCTTATTCATGTTCTTATCATTGAATTTGTTTACATTTTGATTTATTTTCTAGCATTTGTAGCAAAGCACATTTTGAAGAAAAAAACTAATTTTAAAGGTGCTATAAAAAACGGTAAATTATTGCATTGTTATTGTTATTATTATTAATTAATAATAATAATATTTTTTTACAGAACCCCTTATTGTTGTATAATTATTGTACAATAATATAATAATTATTATTGTATATTATTTTTGGAGACTACAGTCTCCAGATAGATACGCCAAAATGTTGGACTTTAGTTCATAAAAATAATTACACTCAAATGAATTAAGAACAGAATTCAAAAGGATAAAAAACAGCACTGAGGTCACTGTCTGTATAAAAATACCTTTCTAATGTATTTTTTGATAACTTTAATAGATCCAGACAATCATCAGATCATGTCATTGACCCATACAGTATATGGTTCTAAATTGAACTATTAATATAATTACAGAACCTTTATTTCTTTTTTTTATGTGTCGTATTGAGATTCCCACTCTCTCGGATTCAGTGGGAGGCATGAATATCCATGGGACCAAGCTGAAATTGTGCAATCCTAAACATGTTGGCCTTACTGGCAAGTCCGGTACGAGTATGTCCATTTCCCTTTTATAAGGTCTACTTTCCTTAATCACAAAGTTCCTCTTTTATCTGTGTCTTTGGTATATATTTATAGTTATTTAGTCAGAGCCAATAGCCACTGTATACTGTTTATATAGCCCATGTTACTCCGTGGAGGATATGAACACATGCTTTTAAGCTCACTCGGGAACTCGACTGGGGCGTGAAGAAAAAGAAACTAGTATTCACATAAACATTTAGACAACTGTCTTCTTCAGCATGAAAACAGCTGGGCGCCACTTCATCAGAGGTGTGGGCAAGAGCTCAGCATTGTGGGTCAGGCTATAAGAGCTGGGATTGGGAAAGAGTGCAGTGAATGAAGGGAGGAGATTGAGTGGGAAGAAGGAGTGGCACGAATGAGAAGACCACTGAGAAAGGATAGTGACTGAAGTCATGATTCAAACATCAAGCCACAAAAATGGCGATGTGAAACAGATGAATGTGAAATCATGTCAAAATGCCCTCACTCCCTATAAAACAAAGCGACAGACAGATGGACAGGTGCATTGTGGGTCAAGACATCCCACAATCATGGAAGATTCCACATGCCCCCAGATGACTCATTGCAGATTGCTGAAAATGAGTCAAGATCAACAATTTATGTTAAATCTAGATGAGAACAATTAGGGTAAAAGTTGCGAAATGTACAGAGCTCCAGCTGTACGAAGGAAGTGAGTGAAGCTAGTTTATCGATAAGCATTTCTAAGAACCTGTCGAGATTATCTCTGAGAGAGGATATGCAGAACTGACATTTATGCTACCAACGTCCTTCCTGAATTTAATCAGACCTCTCATGAACCCACAACAGAAATGCTTCATTCTGTTTCTGATTGATTGACGTTAGATTACGCTATTTAAATGTTCTAAGAGTATATTGGTCCCTTCTATAGCTTTGGTTTTCAGCTCTGACTTAGTGGGGTTTGCTGAAACTGAGAGGAATATTTCCCTTCGGCACATTTATGAAGCATGGTCAGACTCAGAGTATATTGTTCTACATTTTTTCTCCATATCTCAAGTTTTGTTTCTCTTCGCAGGGCCTGTGATGAGGTCAAGCATGGTGACCAGTGGGTTAATGACTCTGAGATGCCAAAAACCACCTCCATCCAATTTTAAAGAAAGGTAGGGAAGATTATTAAAAGGTTATTCTGGGTTCATGTCAATATATGTTAAGCTTAACTGACAGCATTTGTCAAATAAAAATAAATGTAGGGTTAAGGATATATATATATATATACAGTGTATATATATATTTTTTTTCCTTCTTCCAGAAATACCAATAAATAAAAAAGCAAAAATCAAAGTTATGGTGAGGCCCTTGCAGTAAATGTGAAGTTTTTTAAAATATCAGCAATTATCCTTTTTTAAAATCAGCAATGTGAAACTTATAATTTCTTAAAAGCACTTACACAAAGCAAATTGTTGGTGAATTGCTAGTAAATATCACAAATAATTACAAAGAAATGGCAAGTAACTCATTGAATTAAAAGTGAAAATCTGAAGTGGAAAGACTTAAAGAAAAAATGATCTTGTAAAACATACTCCAATATGTTTTATTTACAAATAAAATGTAAAAAAAATAATAATAATAATTTTTATCGTGTATGTTGTTTGTTAAAACTTGTGTATTATTTGAGTTGATTTTGTTAAGCAACACAAAGTTGTAAAATAACCACAAAGTTAAAATATAACTTCATACAGACAAGGTAAGTAATTTTTCCCATTGAAATCATCTTAACACACATATTGTTTACATCTTGTGGCTATACTTTGGAAACAGTGAGTAATTTTAACATTTACAGATTTGCCCAATTTACTTCCCCATTTATTTATTTTGACAAGTTAAAAACTAGTAATAAACATTGTCAATAAGTATTGTACTGTAGATTGAGCCAAATTTTTATTGAACCCAGAATATTCCTTTAAGAAACATCTTTGAGGAGCACAAATCATTGATGGAGGTTTCCAGTCTACATTTCCATAGATAGACAATGGCTGCAGTCCACCCGACAAACCTGCTCTGTTCTCTCTCACCCTCAGTTGCTTTCTCTGTCCCTCTCTATCATCATCTGCCTATCTGCTTTTGAGCAGAACCACACCAAACATCCTGCTCACTGCTACTACAGAGTCAAAAGTTCACTTCCCCAGCTCAACTTTACTCCTTTGTAACCGCTCCATTAACAGAAGCACTGTGTTTCAGATAGCTAAAGCGTACAAAAACACAACCAAACATCTCACCTGGCCCCTGACGCTGACACACACACCTCTACGTTCCCAGAGCAGTACTGAATGCAGAGCCATTTAATATTTCGTTTTTTTTCTCTATGCTTTTGGAACCAAAGTGGGGGAAAAAATTATCTTGTTTTGTCTGTCAGAAAGCAGGAAAGAGAGAACGATAGATTTTCGATGAGAGCGAGCTAATGAATGGTGGAGAACGGGAGTGTGAGATTCATTTTCCCACCACTGAAATCCACTTCAAACGGGCTGTCACATCTCCTCAGCCCGTATTAATATGTCTGCGGTCAAAGTTTTAACTGTTATGATAGCTGTAATATTGTTCTATGCCTCGAGTCAGAAGATTTGTATTCCGTTTACGCTCTGGGTTTCGTTTGGATACAAACAAACCGCTGTGCCCAGACTGTTTTCGTGTGTTTTGCAAAATTAAGTTGAGAGGAATTTCTGGATCTCAGCTGTCCACTTAAAGAGTGTTGGGAAATTTCAGCATCTGTCTCGCCCCAAACAAGCTGGTTTCATGCGCGTGGTTTAATAGTACATGTATACAAAACCTCACTGGGAGTCTAATCCTGCCTCTCGGCAAAAAGGTCAGCTAAAGTTTCTGCAGGCCCGCCCAGAACAAATGGGTCAATCAACTTCAGAAACTATGCTTTCCTCCTTACCAATTCGGCCAAGTGTTTATCATTGCGGCGAATTATTGGTAAACACACAACATTTCTTACACAGCATAACGTTAACAGTAATCGGACTTGCTGTCTGGCATTTCTTTTAATGCATGTGTGAGTTTCAAACTATGCTGTATAATTTCAAGTACCTTCAAGTGTACAGAGAAAACATGCTGATTTTCATCAAGAAATCATTTTTAATTTACAAATTTGCCTTTCATTAGTCATTTCCCATTTCATTGTGTAAGTACAATGTTTTCTGTAATGTAAAAATAACAGACAGTTGCATAGGCTAATCACACAAAAAAATCGAATAATCGTTTCAGGGGGGAAAAAAATACCTTTTTAGCATTGTGAAATAACCACAGGTTAAAAAACGATAAGATCCCTTCAGAAAGTGTGCTTGAATTTTAATGTACAATACACAGAGAGCAATTGTGTGTTTTTGTATTAAACTATTGCTAAAGCATTGTGTAACCCACATTATGATAGGCTCAGTCCTGAGGTAAGCACCAATGTCTTTTTGCTTTGATTAAGAGAGTTCAATTTGACCAAAAAATACAAAAGAAAACAGAAAAGAAACACTTTGAATAGTTGACATGTGACATTAAAGCCCAGGAAAGCTGTCCCAAATTACATGTTCAGCTTTAAGATTCACTAGTTCTTTCACAGTGCATTCGTGGTTTAAGTTTTCACATTCACCAACTGAGGTTGTAATTGTAACTAGTGGTTAACGAAAATTGTTTCACTTAAGGTCTGGCAGAGGAAAAGACAATATGTCAGCATGGTCTTTGGAATAAAAACAGCGGGTGCCGTATCTCATCAGAGCATTTACATTTACTGTAAAACAATTTATTTAGAGGCTAAGCAGATTAATTGCACTAAATAAAATGAAGCAACCCTAACAGGCTACTGTGTTTTATGTTGTAAGTCCAGTTTATGGTACATTAGAGGGGTAGCTTGGGGATTAGGGTGTACGTTCAGATCACAGGGCCTGGTCAACTGGCATAAAATCTAACATCAGTTGGACAGACAAGTGCGGATAATCTTTGAAAATTGGAGATTTCACAGGGCTTACCCTGAGTAGACCAGCTGCTGCTATCTGTGCTCACAGTATCAGAGAGAGAGAGCCCTGCTCCTCATGTTCAGATGGTTGTCACATTAGCGGCTTTACATGTGTGCGCGAGGCACCGTGGGGTTAAAGCCGTCACATTAGCCTGAAATTAACTGCACTGTAATAGGGGTGAGGAGGCCCTCTCAAACATTTCACATGAGGAAAGGTCTTGAAGTGCCTTCGCTGGAACTGTTATACATCTAGTCATGCAGAGAATCGTTCAAAGGGGTCGACTGCAATGCAGCTGAAGCATATTGACTCTGCTGTAAATATTACTGCATTTTCAAAGGCATCACCCATGCTTAGTCTGTCGCACCAGATGGACTGAAACACGTGGACATGGATTGTTATATCATGATCGGAATATGCACAAAGATATTCCAGTTGTGAGATCACAGGGCAGTACTTGCTACTTTTTCAATAAGCTAAAGGCACTTGGCATTGGAGGACAGGAAAGGGAACAAAGACACTAAATAGCTCGAGACCATACACCTGAAGGTAAAAAAAAAATAAAATGGTACTCTCGATGAACTCTTATTCCACGCTGAAGGGGATAACTACATCAATGCAGAGAAAAGCTTAGATCACTTTACCTAAGTCCTGGAACAAACACAATCTTCAGTTTGTTGCTCCCTTTAGTATGGAAAAAACTGGGCCATTAACAAAGCTGGAAAATCAGATACAGGTGATCCAGTACTCCAAAAAATAGTCTATAAAAAGTCCTCCAATTGTAATAAAATCCCAAAGATTTGGCTTTTTCTTTCGTCCAGATTTCCCTCTCCATTCTGGACAGAAGCCCTGAATATTGTTCATATGTGCTTTTTCATTCTATATACACCAATAATACTTATTACACAGGTTTAGGGTACGATTGCAAGTCTCTTCTGTAATATTTGAGATTTTCTCTTTGGCTTTTCCAACATACAAAAAAAAAAAGAAGAAAATGAAAAGAAAAATAAATAAAAACAATATCTTTTTGGTTTTCAACTGGTTCTTTGGCTCGGTGATTGAACAAAAAAGAAGTTGTTTTTATATAAATACTGCATTGTCTGAGTGTCCAACGGTCAGAACAGATTATAAATAAAGCAGTTTCCTCCTTGTAGGAAAGTAATTTTAAGAAATGCACATACTGCAAAATCTGCAAAGAAAGGCACGTTCAGAATTAAACAGTTTGTGTGCATTTTTATGGCCAACACTTTCTGGCCTCCACTCTTTGAGGTGCTGGTTCAAATGAAGATGAGGTGAGAGTAGAATACTGTGAATGGTATACAGTGTTATCTCTTTGGAAAGTATAGTTAGTGGTTCCCCCCTCTAGCTGGGAGAGTAGCGGTCAATGGTGTGGGACTCTGCCGAGAGCTGCTGGGAAGTGGGTGGCAGTGGCTGGTTAAGGACGTCCATCTTGATGTGGGTGAGGCCGAGGTGTTCTACAGCCAGCTTTGACAGTGGGTAGAGGCTCTCCATGGCTTTGGCGTCAACCAGCAGGTGCTGAGAGGCTGTAAGAAGGTCTGAGATTTTCTCCTGCTTCAGACCCAGATGCTCAGCTGCGTACTTGCTCAGGGGATAAATCCCCTCGGAGAAGTCTATCTTTAGCTTGCCGTCAGGAGTTAGTCCTCCGCCACCTGTTCCACTGCTGTGCATCTTCATGTGACTGATGAGGTTGCGTTGCTGAGCAAATTTGCCCCCGCACACCTGGCACTCATAGGGCTTCTCTCCAGGGTGTTCTACAGCCAGCTTTGACAGCGGGTAGAGGCTCTCCATGGCTTTGGCGTCAACCAGCAGGTGCTGAGAGGCTGTAAGAAGGTCTGAGATTTTCTCCTGCTTCAGACCCAGATGCTCAGCTGCATACTTGCTCAGGGGATAAATCCCCTCGGAGAAGTCTATCTTTAGCTTGCCGTCAGGAGTTAGTCCTCCGCCACCTGTTCCACTGCTGTGCATCTTCATGTGACTGATGAGGTTGCGTTGCTGAGCAAATTTGCCCCCGCACACCTGGCACTCATAGGGCTTCTCTCCAGAGTGGATGCGCATGTGTTCTGTCAGACGGTACTGTCGAGTAAAGCGCATACCGCAGGCATCACAGGCAAAGGGTTTAAGGCCCAAATGGCTCCGCATGTGGCGTGTCATGGTACCCCGCTGGGTGAACTTCTTGCCACAGATGCTACAGGGGTATGGACGTGTCAGCCAGTGGGTTTTCTCATGTTGCCTCAGGGTGGCAGGATCTTTGTAAGACTTGTCACAGGACGAACAGCGATATGGTCTTATGATCTCCCCGAGGCCAATGGAATGGAAGTTTTGCGTCGATTTGCTATCTAGGAAAGAACTGTGGAGGCCACTAGAGCTGTTCAAGCTTGTAGGTCCATGGGCATTGGTGGGTTTGCTGTTGCCATTGTTGTCCAGCTCAATCCCGTTGTTTAGCTCCTCCTCGGTATGAGTTTCCACATGAGCATTGAGCTGCTCTGAGCTGGGGAAGCCTTTGTCGCAGGGGATGCACACGTACAAGTTATCTCCGAAACTCTCTGGCTCGTATGGCATATGATATCTTCCACCCGGAACAGGGGGAGATGGACGACCCTCACTGCTCCCCGTCTCTTCACTGCCGGTTCCATTCTCATCCTCTCCATCATCGCAGGTCCCTCTGTCATAGCCCCGCTCATTCATGTTCAGCTTTTCCTCACTGTTCTTATGTAGATTCATGTGCTGGTGTCTCTCTTTATCCTGCTCACCGATTCCTCCATTCTCATCCTCTTCGTCTTCTTCATCTTCATCCTCTGGGTTGGAAGGCTCATTCTTCACCCACCGATAGATGTTGGACCCATCTCGACCTTGTTCTCTGGAGTCCTCCATGGGTTCTGGGCTGGGAGGGCAAGGGTAAGGTTCTTGGCCCTGAAGACGGTGCAGGTGGGGAAGATGGGGTGCAAGAGGATGGTTGGGTAGATGGAAGGGGTGTGGGGTGAGAGACCCCACATGATGGGCTGTCTCCATTTTTCTGGAGCCATCGTTTGGACTGAGCAGGGGGCTAGTGCTTTGATCTAGCTCCCCCTCTGGCTCCTCTTCTGGGTGGAGTGAGGAGATCAAATGAGGGTGACCAGAAGGAAGCTGGGACTGGGAACTTGGACTTTTCTTGGACAGGTCAAGGCCATAGACGGATGAGCAGCTCCTGTCAGTAGGGCGCAGGCCTGACTGGGGCAACAAGGATGTCTTTGCTGGGGGGTAAGGTGGTGGACCCTGGGTGGGAGCTGGTGCATAAATTTCTCCGGCATGAGGGGCCAGGTCCTCTAATGGTGTAGGTCGAGGGGTGCTAACTACTCCTCCAGGATGGCAAGAGTGGATGACAGGGGTAGATATTCGAATCCTTCCTCCCCCCATGCCACTGTAGTCTATCTTGTAAGGTAAAAACCCAGGGTTGGGGCGTAAATGGTACTTCCCATTTCTCTTCAGCTTCTTCTTGCATAGAGTCACCAGATCCAGTAGCTGCAGATAACTTGCAGCCGCCAGCACTGCTCCTATATTTGGCTCAGTTGGAGAGGTGGGGTCACCTTCACTTAAGCGTCCTGTGTAGATATAGTCAAGAATGACTCGAAACACACCTGGACTGACCATCTCATGGTCCAGATTGATGAGGTTGTCATGAACAACAAGAGACTTAAGGTAGAGGCTACTGGCTGCCAGGATGTTCTTGTGAGCACGGAACAATGCATTCTGCACCACAATGATAACATCACACAAGAAGCCTTTGGTTCGTTGTGTGTTCAACTGCAAGAGGAGGTGCTTAGCATGACTTTGGACTTCCATGGCATCCAGCATCGACTTCAGACCAATACCTGAAATAGAAGAGACATTGAACAATTAAGCAGAAGCCAGAAAGTTGTTGCAGACAAATGTAAATGATCACATTTAGAATCTTATTAAAACCAGCTGAAGTTTGCATACTTATTTGAGTACTGTGGTATAAATGGTCTATTCCATTTTTTTAAATAGCTGTCTTTTGAGATATAACACTTGTTACTGACACATCTGTTTGTGTTGGACTGTCTTGTAAACCTTGACTGGCAGCACTTGAAGATATAAAAAGGAGCACTAAAGCTTGTGTGCATTGTCTTGATCCTGAATATAGTTCTTCGTTTACTCTTTGATATTTTTGTAGACTTTCATGTAGGGGATTGTGGGCAAACAATTCAGCTTTTCCTTTAATACAACAAGCATCAGAAGGACTCCATAAAAGTGAGCTATAGCTGACTGAGTGAGACTGTGATGGTTTTGTCATTATCAAGATACAAACCCACATGTTTAAAACTTATAGTGAAGTGCAGTTAACAAAAAAAATGAATGAAAGAAAAAAGACAGAGGAAAAATGCCAGTATAAACATGTTTTCATATTGCTGTCTTCCTGATAAAGAATTCCAGAGGTGGTGTGAGGAGTTTTAAACAAAGTCAGACTGAAAGTTTTGCAAGTGTGATGAACAGCAGGCATAAACTAGTGGGGACAAAAAAAATGCAGCAAATTCATGACAGGACACTGTGAGTTACAAATTAAACCATTTTCAAAAGATCACTTGTCAGAGAATGCCTACAAATTACTAAATAAACATTCCACTAACAATGCCAAGTTTAAATTCTAAGATGAACGCAACAGTTCCTGTCATGCAAACATAATAAACATTACAAACTTACCAGAAAATATTATTTAAACCCTGCTACATGAGGATGGTCTGTATATGAGATAAAACGGATAGTTAGGGTCCCACAGGGGATGGTTTCACTGATTGGAAACAAGAAGCTAAATAAATAGTCATCCCAACATCAGTTCCTCCTCTCATTGTTTATTTCATTGTATAACATAATCCTCTTAGATGAATACTGTAGTTTGTAGTCTTAAGCTTCTATTTAATTAGCCCTTATATCCAACAATGCAACTCTTCCCTATAAAACCAACCACAGCTCCTAAAATTAATAATACTTAACCCCACAGTTGCCAAAAAAAACCTTTCAATTATTCAATGACTTTCAGGGGTTCAAATTTTTTAAGAAATTTCTGCCAGTAATTTTCTAGTTAGACTGTTCTTGTTCTGGTTAGATTCGTCCATTGGAATTTAAGACATTAAAACAACATTCAAGAATTTTCTAGAGTGAGTGAGTGTGTGTGTGTGTGTGTGTGTGTGTGTGTGTGTGTGTCGCATGTCACACCTCTGTACATCAATTTACACTGGCTACCAGTAGCTGCTCGCATTAAATTCAAGGCATTAATGTTTGCCTACAAAACCACCACTGGCTCTGCACCCATTTACCTAAATTCATTACTTTAAAGTTATGTGCCCTCTAGAAGCTTGTGTTCTGCAAGTGAACGGCGTATTATTGTGCCATCTCAAAGAGGCACAAAATCATTTCTACTTATTCTTTCTACTTGTTTTTCTTTGTGTGTGTGTGTGTGTGTATGTGTATATGTATTTTATATATATATACACACCTTGCTACGTGTACTGCGTTAGGCTAACCGAGACTTGTCATTTGCACTTATATATTGTTGCTCTTTTGTTAGTTTAGACTGCTTTTATTGTTCTCATTTGTAAGACGCTTTGGATAAAAGCGCATGCTAAATGACTAAATGTAAATGTGTGTGTGTGTGTGTGTGTGTGTGTGTAGAAGTAGAACTACAATACATTTTGAATAAATGGTAGTAGGCTACTATGTTTTTTTTTTTTTTTGGGGGGGGGGGTTTGATGCACTGTCCCATACTGATCTTAACTGGAAGTGCTCCAACTGCTGCTAAGGTAACCTCATCAGGCTAACCATAACAGTTGGAATGTCGGCATATACTTAAATGCAAATAAATAAAATAAAAATAAAATGTATTAAGTACCCAAGCTATAATCGGTCAGATCTTCCCAACCCCCCATAATGCGTACCCTGATTGTTCACACTAAGCATTCTGGTTTCTACTACTTCTCTTCATTAAAATTTATAAATTTAGTTCATATTTATGCATGTGTATTTTATTCACATCTTCTTTTTATTATCTGTGTGTTGTTGTTGTCTCCGTGTACTGGAAGCTTGTGACACTATAACAAATTCCCTGTATGTGCAAACATACTTGGCAATAAAGCTCTTTCTGTTTCTGTTTCTAATACAGTAAAATGTGACGTAGGCTACATAAAAGGCTGCCTCTCTAACTCTCTTTAATATAAACGCACTGTACAGAAGCATGAAGACGCGCTTGTCATTCTGGCTTCTTCACTAGAAGAACTAGACACAGTTGGTGAGGCAAAGAAACCATACATGGACAGAACTGAAGTTCGTCTTTAAAAAAACGAATACATATATTTATAAAACAATTATCTGTGTACATTTTTGTGTCGAAACTATTCATTTAGCCCGGTGCTAAAACATTTACACATTTGTTTAGAAAGAAAAACAATCAACACAGATCCAGAAATATGAAGTGATGGTTTTAAAAAGTTTTTTAACATTTCCTTTTTGTGGAAATATTGCCGGCAGCGGGTCATTTATGGTCTGCAGTGCACCTGTACCTTCCCCGTTTATGTCAGCCTGAACACTCGAGTAACATGTTTTTCAATACAATTTTCCTAATTCATAAATCACGTGTTCCGTTTTATTTCCAAACGAGCGTCATTTATAGATTTGTTTAACGATTACATAATTGGATCATTTGTAATTAGCCTATATAAAGAGGATACACTTTCACTACCGCACAGAATCAAACAGTTGACATGTTATTAATTTCCTGTTGCAGGCAAAGTTACCTTAACAATGGAGCATCTCAACCAAACGAACACCACCCGCAACATTTCCTCTCAGTCCGCATCTATCTTCAGCCTGTCTTAATAAAAGCACTGACGTTGTGTAACTCTTATCTCCTCCCCTGCTGCCCACGGACACGTCTCATCACTGACAGGTGTATTTTAAGGTGAACAGCCATTTTTGGCTCGTGGTCTTTCCATTAGTGAGAGTTTGAGAAAGCAGCACATACTGTATGAGCGCATGATTTATAGCGATTCGTGCCGTACTGCCCTCAATGTGCTGCTTTTAGCACAAAGATGACCAAATAGAAGGAAAATGTGAACAATAAACGGGACGGAATGGAAACTAAGGACTGTGGTTCAGCCTTCACCTGAAAGTTTTTAGAAGAAAAAGAAAAGAAAAAAGAAAATCACCTCTAACTAACGTTAGTCGGGCAACAACTGCAGGGGAAAAAATGTCCAAATGCAGGGGAAAAAATCACTCCTTTATTCTGTCAGACGTTCGTTAAGATTTAAAGGAAGTGATGAAAGACGTCAATGTTTTTAAACGGCTGTTTGAACTTCACATCCTCTCAAGCCCCTCATCCTGTGGATTTCGGCTACATTATGCGTCTTTAAGAGAATCAGAGAATTTAAGGACCGAATCATTTAGATATAGTTCTTGAATCATTTATATCTCATCATCAAATAGCCTATAAATATGAGTTTTGATTCAACCTTTAAAAAACATTGAAAGTCCTATTATTTAATCTAAAGATTTTACTGAATAAATACAGCTAATAGGGAGAACTCATTTGAATTAAACGACAAAAGCTATCAATACTCAATAAAATGTCAATTATTTGGGCGTGCAGCGCATGCGACAGCTATATTTGGTATGGTACAGGACTGGATTAAAGACAGTGCATGGGTCATATTTTAGGTGCTTTGGTATTCATTAGCCCTGTGTTTTGTCTCTGTTGTCATTTTGCTGGTTTAGGGGTGAGGCAGGGGTCTGCTCGTGTTCTTAAGACTTCCTCTCTCTCTCCGCCCTCGGTCTGTCATCTTTTTTCCGCAAAGCGTCCTCCCTTTGAGATTTATCCCTTTAGACTGCGTCTAATGTACCTTTAAGGAATAAACAGTCAATCAGTCACAAAGCACGTCTTTTAAATTGGCGTATTAGACGTCACACACGGGGCACACGAGAGATATCTAGATATTTTTGTTTGTTTTATTTTTGAGGATAAGGAATGACACACAAAGGGGAAAACATATATAGACAAATTATATTACATGTATAATTTAATAAATGTTGGCCTTATTTAACTGCAGAATAAAGTTGTCATTCAGTCACTGACACGTGTGCGAGAAATAAAACTACTTTTTTAATTGATGTCATTTAAAGTGCTTTAAAAGTACTCCCTGTAACTTAGTTTTCAAGTTTGACTATTTCCTAAGACATGATGGTTTTGTGAATGAAAGGTAAAACCTGCGCAAAACTTCTTGGCACCATGAAACGTGCGTTCGTCTTGGATCGTGTCTGGTTAAGTGGTTTAAAGTCAAACGGGAAAACACCTGAGGTTTATCGACCTTTTAGCATACAATTTGAAGGTAGGAGTTTGGAAAAGAGCATATCAGGCGCTACAGCTTCCTCTTCCACAGCTCGTCTTATTGCGCTCATATTCTCTCGCGCTCTCCATCAGCACACGCAGCTCTGGATGTTCATTCATAAATACCACTGGGAGGACAGCTCACTATCCCCTATATATGTGGCCTCCGTGGTCAGGGATGAGATGGAAATATTCTAGCCACATATCACAACATCTATATCTGTTTTATGTTCTGTAGTCTACCATAATAATCTCTTGGATAGAATATAGTAGAGAAAGATAGCAAGTGAGAGACTGCAAGTGATTCACACAGTGCCGCTATGAGCATGTTACACTTTTCATTAAAATTCTAAATTAAAGTGAAAAATAACTATTAGGCCTATCAATATCATGCCATAAAATTACTTCTTAATTTTACATCTTTGTGGTCTTGTAAAAATGTTTGTTTGACGCTTTATAAAGCACAAACTGTGTAATTATCTCAGTCCATTCAATCCTTTATAGTTTTCTATGAAGAAATTACATTATTTAGAGCTCGTCTTGTAAACGTGTGGAAATGTTTAAACAGAGTATCCTTTAAAACACTATAATTGTTCATTTACGTTCAGACTGCATTTGCATGCAAGACACGCATATCTGTCTTTAAAATCTAACCATTCTCTTTAAAGTCAAATCAGTCGCATGTGAAACACCATGAATTCTCAAATAAGGCTGAGAGCCCCGTCACTGTGATGGCCACACCGCCATACGAAATCACACAACCACCAGATCACTGTGTACTGCGGCACTTTTGGACTCAGAATGCGATTACAAAATGGACTATTTATAATGAAGTCCCTTGTTCACACACACACACACACACACACATTTAAACTACTGTTTCTAAATATTTTAAAACGTAATTTCTCCATCATATAGGCTAAGTATTTGCATTTTGAAAATAATCGTGTTGATAGCATATAATACTAAAATGTGCAGCTAAAGAAAGAAAGAAAGAAAGAAAGGCAAACAATCGGGTTTTCAGTTTTAAAACTTTTCCAACTGCATGCTCCAAAAAAAATAAATAAGATTCAACAGTAGCTCGGATTAATATCATGTCTGTCTAGATAAATAAAGTGTTGATAAAGAGCCTATAGTTCAAATGTTAAGAGCATTGAACGTTACCTGGATGCCCGATCTCTTCTGCCATCCGATCTAAGTCTCCCTCAATGATCATCTCAACAGTGTTTTGGAGTCATTTCTGAAGTTTCAACTTTGAACTGCCAGCCTCCCAAAAACCATGCCAGTTTTCCGAGCACGACTGCCAACTCTTTTTATTATTAATTGCAATGAATTTCGTGTTGTTCACCCTCCCTCTCTCTCTCTCTCTCTCTCTCTCTCTCTCTCTCTCTCTCTCTCTCACCTCTCAATGCAGCGCTGCAATCATGTTACTGACCGGCTAAATAACTTGCCAAACCATCAGACTCCAATTTCTCTCTCTCTCTCTCCTCCCTCTATCTCTCTCGCTCACTCCTATAAAAATACGTGCGTACTCCTACATCAGTTTTCCTCGTTTTTTGTATGTTTTGTAATTTCCTTGGCTATTTTTGCATGGATGTAATAACGCAACTGGAGACGATAATGGGTTTCTGGGCTGCGCGAGTGTTTTAGCGCCTCGTGTGATGTCAGTGTACAATAAAACTAAAAGGTAAAATCGAGGGCAGGAACTTACCGTGACCCCAACTTGAACTTCTCAACGCATCGACGCTTAGTCTTAAAGAGACAGGCGTTTTATTGTATATCAAAACATAGTGTAGGCTACGTTAAAGAGTAGCTGTTTTTTTGAGTGCTGACTACTTTAATACGGATGATGGTTACCATAACTTCTGTATAGAGTTCATTATAATGTTATCCAGGAAATATTGGGTCTGCACATCACTGTCTGTACCTGTGAATGCTTACAAACAAATACTGATTACCTTTTGCATCTTATGTAAAATGTAATTAATTTAATACAGTTGGTTGCACAACACTTACAAAAAAAGTACTATAGTACTACCATGTTTTTAATATGGTACCATGGTTCTACCATGGTATTCTTGGAAGAACCTTAAAGTATATGAAATTAACATAGGATATAGCCTATCTTAGTACCTGAGTATTTATTTATTTATTTGTACAGGAACTTAGATGGTAAGCGATGCTCTAATATCAAACAATTAGTTGCAAACTTAACATTATAATTGTAATGTTTTCCATACAATTGTTTTCAAATTAAGATTTTTAAAATACTTTTTAAACTAATTTAGTGGTGTATCAGTAGCATCAGTATTATCTGTCTGTAATGACACAATTGCTTACTTTTACAGACATATATCCCTATATTTAGACAGAAAAGGTGCAGAAATGATGCATATTCTGCATCACACAACACTCTGACAGAAGTTATATGGCATGACTACACTGTTGGAATTTTTTTAAGCTTCAGTAAAAGATCGGCCTATGTGTCATCTTCATTAATTTAGTTAATTGTTTATTTAGAAAATTAAGGCTCAAGTAAGATTATCCTATACATTAAAAACAGGTATGAATGTCAGTTTATCATGGCCTATTGCAGTGACCGCAGTTTAATGTACGCACTTAACAATTAAAAGTTTGAATTAGAACCTAAGATAACTTTTTCTCTAGTTCTTTAGAAAACCTTCTGTATACTCGTGCTTTAAAAAGAAAAAGAAACCAATACACTGATCTGAAGAACCTATAATGTCAAATCAATAACTTTTTTCATCTGCTAAGAACCATATTCAATTCTAGAACTATAACGTTTTCTCATAACGAGACGGTTCATTGCTGAACTTAGGAACCATTAAAGACCCTTTATTTTTAAGAGTGTAAAGTGTAGTGTATATTTTGTTTTTAACAGCTATACACAGACGAAATTAAATATGTAATAGAGTTATTCTGGTTGGTGACAAGTTGACAAGTATTTTGTTTAGTCTTGTTTGATATCAAAGTTCAGGATGAAAACATTTAAAGATATTTTGTTTATATAATTTAGATGCATAATACGCTGTATTAAAAATTCGACTAAAAAGTGCAATAAGTCAGATCTCCGGCTGTCCAGACATGCCTGCAGCACGAGCGCCAATTATCATAATCTATCAGGTAAGTATGTTGGCAGGCGCTCACTGCGCACACCTGAACGCGCAGCAGGTAACTCACATGATACATGCATTAACAAAAACTCACCTCGGATTCATGTCTGATGCTCCTGCCGATCTTGACTTTCCCCTTACGGGATTCCTCTGTCCACAGATCCCCAATCGTCCAAATTCCTCTTTAAATGGTAAACTTTTCCCGGTGTTCCCAGCTTCTTCCGCGTTGTCCCTTGTCCTTTACCCTTCTCCCCTTCTCTCTCTCCCTCTCCTCGTGTTAGAATGGACCAGACACTTGAGAATCTGGATGGACTCTGATTGGCGTTCGTCTCCAGAAGCAGCGCAGGCTGCGCGTGCAGCGACACCTGGCGCACATTATAGTGCCGACGGCAGAGCGCACGAGACAGCGGAATACATTCATAATAAAATGGAAATGAAGTGGCATAATTTCTGACCTAACATTAAGCTCTTGTTTTTGTTAGATGGGTGTAACTAATCGTGGTCAAATTTAAAATATAAGAAATGAAGTATTTGAAATTATAACACTGGAACGAAACGGAACCAATGTGAATTTCACATGTCCAAGTTGATAGTTTAATGTATTAATCTCCATTAACTTCTTCATTTTCTTTTTAATTCTAAATGTTTAATTTTGCAATCAGTGCGTTGGCACAATAAAGCACTGATTTTTATAGCTCTTTTTCTATTCCTTGATTTCTCCACTCTACAATGCTGCTGGTTTTATAATTAATAAGTATTTTTGCTTTTTTCCACGCACCCTTTTATTTTTATTTTTTATTTTTGGCTATGCATCAGAATTTGTTTTTGTTATGTGTTGTAAGCACATGAATAATTTCTCCTGTTCTTTGTTTTGTTTTGTTTTTTAATGGGAATATTTTGTTTTTAAATTCTTTCAATAGCATTTATTCATTTATTTAGTTCTCTTTTGTTGCTTTGTAAATTTTCACTTTTTTAATCAAGTACCATTTTTATTTTTATTAAGTACTGTGTACTGAGCTTCTAGTTGTCTTTGAGCACTCTTTTTCTTTTGGGACTTTTCTGATTAGAGTATTTTAGAAGGCTTTCATTCATGCATAATCTTGCTGCACACAGTTTAAACAGTCACTGATTATTAACCAGTCATGAAGTACTTGCTATTTCTTATGAGAAACATGGCAACTATACACTGTCGGTCTGACTAATGGATTTCAGACAGATATTCCCATGGTGTCATGTTTTGTAATTATTTTTGCTATCAATTTGTGGCGTCCCATTTGTTGTAGATTGCTGAGATGAAAGTGGTTTTTCGTCAGGCATTCACCTGGTAGAAGCCTTTTCATGTCACAGCCTGCCCCTCAGGCCCTTGAATTACTCTAACAGCTGACTGACATCTGTTTCCCCGTCTCTCTCCTGAAATTACTTTAGTTCAAGAAGCTGCTTTTTAATTTTAATGGTCAAAGTCATAGCGGTCCAGCTTTACTGCGGAGAACGTATTGTCTATCACTTCCAGTTTCTCATGATGAACTTATGATAACCTCAAAAAACTGAGATAGGCAGAACTAGACAAAGGACAGATCATGGTGCAAACAGCACCTGGATGTTTTTCAGTTCACTTTTAATGTTGGTATAAAATTCACTGCCCATATGTTAGAGAGAAACAATGGGTATTAGTTGCTCGAAATAGGTCAGTTGTTAAATATAACCGCTTAATTTGACCCCTGTGACTCACTGACCTTGACTCATGTGACACCAAAGTCATTTGGCTCAGTTATGTTTATTGTTTGTTTACTGGCTCATTAGATTTGCCAAAGTCAGCTCTTACACTTTCTTAAGGACACATTGGGCCTCATTCATGCAACATGAGCAGAACGAATTTCTAATTGTTCACTAAACTACTCCTACGTAAATTGTCACATTCAGTTCACATAAGGAAGACTTTCTGAATGATTTACATACAAATTCGTTCTACTTGTGTTTCATGAATGAGGCCCAGTGTGTGCACAAGCAAAATGTGAATTCTGATTTGGATTTATGTTAAAGTGAATGATTTAGACACAAATTTGCGATAAGAGAGTACGTGAATTTAAAGACTTTATCTCAGCAAGTGAAGACGTACTGTAACCTCTATTAGGAACTGATCTGAATTCCTAATGAGCCAACAACAGGTGAATGCCTGGTGTTTACAGTGATTAAGTGAATGAAAGCTGTGCTAAAAACGTTAACCAGGCCTGCCACTGGATCGCAGAGCACACTTGCACAACCACTGACACTTAACAATCAGCCATCACCTCCTACATAACACACCTACTTTGGTTTATTTGTATGTGCACATGTGTATGTCCGAAATATGTGTCTATATGTGGAAAAGTGTGAAAGGAATGTGTATGCAAGAGATGGAAAGAGTGCAAGAGTAAATAAAGAGCTGAATAAATTTTGTTTTAACAAGTGGGATGTTTATGTGCTGCGTGTTAAACTTTATTGGCCGTGTGCATGAGTGATATCAGTCTGTAAGTGGGTCTGTGAGACAGCACTTCTGTCAATGTGAAAAACAATCTGAGGAACACCTGACTTGGGACTGAAGCATCAAGTTTACGTATGCATAGGGAATGACAAATAGCATTCCAATCAAGTTATTATAACGTTGTTGTTTTCAAGCATAAGTAAGTAAGTTTTATTTATAGAGCACATTTAAAATTCAGCGTTACACTGACCAAAGTGCTGAACAAAACCAATAATAAAATACAGTAAATTCTAAAATATTCTAAAATTTAAAAAACAATAATAAAAAAATTGTAATATCGGCAATAACAACAGTTTCACATTCAATAAGGCCTACAGTCAGATTGCGGTCCTGCGAAGCCCAAAGGCAACAGCGTCACAGCATCGCTGTGAGATGTAACAAATAATAATAAATAAATATCAAATAAAAACATTTATAAAATTATAAATCAATATAGAAATGACATAATGTATTCATAATATTATCAATAATATGAATTATTAATAAACAAACAAATAAAAACTATAAGTATGTAAATCAATAAAGTAATATATCGAAAATAAACAATAATATATAATTATAACAATAAAAAATTAATACATGAATAATAATATAAATGAACTAGAAAATAAATTAATAACTATAAATGAATAAATAAATAACCATAAATATAAACAAATACATTAATAGAAAAAAATTAATAATAATTGATAATAACAAAAATGTATAATGATTGATCATATAATTATAACAACAGAACAAAATAATTCATATATAATAATATGAAATATATAAATACTACAGAATAATAATCAATAAAAATATTCATATAAATCAATACATTTATAAATAAATAATAATTAAAAACTATGAATGATATTATAAAATTATAAATTATATTATAAAATTGTAAATAAATAAAAGTTATTTTACAATAGTCATTTTCTCATAATCATAAAAATAAAAAATAATTAAGAAGTAGCAAATACTTTGTTACACAATGCAGAACACATAACAATGTACCACTAGTATAAAATACGAAAGCTGAAATAATGTGTTTTACACATTACAATTTTACATCTGTGGTGGCTTATTTTTAGGTTTCTCTCAGTTTGAGACCCCTGATTGTCAAAGACCCCGTGGCACTGGCTTCTTAACGCATCCTTGAGTCAGAATAATGCACCATGGGAACAGCTATTTAGTTTAGCTGTTTGTTGCCTCGCACCCTTGGCCAGATACCCATCCTGAGTGTTCTTTCTATGGCAGCGTGATGAGCACTGTTTCTATCTTTGTGGGTGCAACCACTCAATTTACCACATGCAAGATTACCGGGCCCCTATGCCAGACACACCCCTGAGAACCAACATCACCAGAAATTGAGCGCTAGGCCCAACATTTACGCAAACCCTCTCCTAATTCACTCTAATGAGATGCTGCGAGACAGTTTTAGTGGATAGGCACACAGAGACAGGTCATTTGCATCCTCTGCCTTTTGTGAGCGTCCTGGCCGCCACGCGTATGCATCCTCCGCTGGCAGAGTTGCCGTTTTCAGGAGATGAAAGCTAAATGAGAAGCTGTCGTGATTGATTGGGATAATGTGAGTGTGGGTTTGAACTGGGCATGTTGTGATTCAAAAGCTTGCGTTGGAGGGAAAGGCATGTGCACCACTTGCACAAACCAACCGCTCTTTTTAGAGCCTGCGAGGGCCGATGGTGTGACTTCCTTAAAATACCTTCATCGAGCATGTCTCTATTGTTACCAGATGTCATTCTAACTTTCCAGCACACACTTTTGTACAGCAGCACACGTTTGAGAGTAAAGCCCAAAGTATACTTCAGTTTTGATGCAAATGCTTCGCGTATGCGTACAGCCTAATGCACAGCCTTTCAAAGTATGGGCTGCATCCAAAATTGCACACTTCCCTATTATATAGTAAACAAAAACAGTATGTGAATAGAGTAGTATGTCTGAATTCACAGTATTCATAAAACAGTAGGCAAAAACTCCCTGGATGACTTACTATTTTCAGCAAGATTCGGCACATCCAGTGGACACTTTACTATCCCATGAGGCCATGGAAGAGGATTTGTAAATGGTCGTAAAGTGATGCAACTGCTATGTCAAATTTTTGAATGTGCGACACTTTCCATTTATTAGCCACAATAGGTAAATAACTAGAATAATGACAGTAAAATACAGTAAACTGGCACTGGTACTCACATGACAATAGATATATATTCTTATTTTACAATGCTAATGGAACGACTACGGCAACCGAAAGTAAACTGTTAAAGCAAAGTAAACAAGAACACAAAAATCTCTAAGCAACTAGGTGATGGCCAACCAGAGCATTCAATTATTTATCAAAGTTACAAAAAAAGTCATTTAAAATGCAAGAAAATAGTTGCTTTTGGCATGAAACTATAGTATAGAATATATTATTATAGCTAACAGCTATAGTATAAACTATAGTATAGAATAACAATAAAGTGCAGTAAATAGTAAATTTATTTGCGCTACAAACCAGAGTGTTTATGACTATAATAATGAGCTAAAATACCAGTTTGGAACATCAAGCATCATAATGAACTGTTTGTAAATAACATCAGAGGCCTTGCATGTTCAAGTTACAAATAGCCACATCCTTTCTTATGTTAAAAATAAGGTGAATACTTTGGGCTTAACCAGACTCAGTGGTCTATGTGTCAGTGGTACCAGGGTCACTGTGCCATCCTGGCCTGAGGGTTGCAAGCAACATGTTGGCATCAGCGGTCACTGGTCATCTTGGTGTTTGAGCA